TTGCTTTACTTACTGTGCTCTTGGCTGTGCAGAAGCTCTTTAGTTTGATTAGATCCCAATAGTGTATTTTTGATGTTGCTTCAATTGCCTGGGGGGTTCTCTTCATAAAATTTTTGCCCTCTTGAATGGTTTAAGCTTTTGGTATTTCAGTATTGAATTGATTAGATGTCTGTGTATATATTTTTAGTGTTGTATATATTCGAAAATCCTGTTAATTTAAAATACTACATATATGGTTCTCCTTGGTCAGTGTAATGGATTTTTATTTATAACATGACATCTTTTTAGTGCTAATACATTTCAGAGATTATTTCTTTGGGGCATCTATGTATGTGGCATAATAGCAAACATGATATATTTATGGTTGAGAAAGACAACTATGGATATATATTGTTAGTGATAATTAAAAACACAGCAACAAAGTCACCATGAATGTGTGTTGCTATGGCTCATGTTTTAATTGCTGGTCACAGATCCCTTGGTGTTGATCTTACCCATGACATCTGCAGAAGAGACCTGAATGTTAAACTGCTTCTCCTGCTGAAATAGTTGTGCACCCTCTGATTCCTTTTCTTTTTTTCTAACATAGGTCAGACTGTTTTGCTCTCCCAGCCTACTGTGGTGCAGCTTCAGGCACCTGGAGTTCTACCCTCTGCTCAGCCAGTCCTTGCTGTTGCTGGAGGAGTTTCGCAGCTACCTAATCACATGGTGAATGTGGTACCAGCTCCTGTGGCAAATAGCCCAGTGAATGGAAAACTTTCCGTGACTAAGCCTGTCCTGCAGAGTACCATGAGAAGTGTGGGTTCAGATGTAAGTTTTGAAACAGTGCTTTTATTAATGCCTGATTTTAAAAAAAGCTAAAGAACACTTTTTGTTGCCTTGTTTTTGTTTTTTAAAGTTTGATATATGACATTAAATAAAAGAGTGTGCTGAAATTTCACCTCCAACCTTTGGTGGAAAATTAGGGTAAAGCTTACTTATTATGTTAGAATCTAAGTGAAAAGGTTTTTGAAAATTTGAAGTGGTTTGATGAAAAGTAAAGCATGCATACCTCCCTTTTCCTTTAGAACCCTCTCATTACATTCCTCAAGCCTCCACACCCCCAACCCAATCATCC